CTTCTCAGCGGTCGAGCCTGCCACCTCTCTCTCTCTCTCTCTCTCTTTCTCTCTTTCTCTTTCTCTCTCAGACAATACAATTTTTTACAATATATTTTTATCGCATTACAAAAAATACAGACGGTCTCATTCTGAGAAATCTGAACTCCTGGATGTTTGTTTCTGGTTTCACTGCGGGTAATCTCAGCAAGCGAACTGTATTGGTTCAGTGACAAGTCACGAACCTTTAAAGATAAAGTTGAGTTCTGGTCATGCGATTGCACTATGAAAGAATCGATGTGGAGTTGATCACAACGAGTTGATCATGGAGCATATAGGTATTGGTTTGTACTGCAAGGTTCTGGAGTCATCAAAATGAGAAGAAATTTGGCCCAGTCTTAGTAAAGAAAGATGGGACTACACAAACATGTGGCATAAAGATTGGGGCTCATTTTTAAAGCTGTTACTTGGCATATTTAGAATATGAAGGCATTTGAAGAGCCATGCTTTTGAGGGAACATTTTTTTCTCTGATGTTTTTCCACACTTGCATAATAACAATGACAGCGCTCACAAATTGTTTTTCACCTCTTCCCAGAACTCCACCTCGTCTTTAAGTCTTGATAACATACAGGCAGTCGTCCTGCTGAGGAATAAACCATGCTTCATGAGTTTCGCTATCAAGCCGTTTTATAGTTCGGCCACCAGAGCATATACTGAGAACCTATAGGAAATATATTTATTCAGATGGTCATATCTCAGCCAATACTTAACATATTAAATTGGTTTTCGACATTATTTTGGACATTATTTTTGATGCTCTTTCGGAAAATGAAGAAAAAATAGGAGAAATTCTGAAAATAATTTTTTGATGACGTCACACTTTTCACCACTCTATATAGGAATATGTAATATTGCAAGGGGCGGCTGTAAATCTGATGAATTATCAAGTATTAGTCGCATTATTTGGTCCGCCCCATTCTCACTCTCACGTTTTGCGTGCATAAGAGGTATTTATTGCAATTCCTTTCTCCTTCTTTCTTCCTTCCTTTTTTTTTCTTTCTTCCTTTCTTTATTTGTTTATTTCTTCCCTTGAAAACTGTCACTGTTTATAATATGCCAGTTGTGGGGATGATCTATAACCCTACGTTGAGATGATATTTGTTACTCTTCCTAGTTTCGTTTTGTTGATGTTGATTTTTTTCTCTTTTATTTGATTTTATAAGTGCTCCTCGTCGTAGAAAAGGAATTGCTATACCATAACGCAGAATTGGCGGGGGAGGGGGTGGATAGAGGAGAAGGGATGGATGATGGATTGAAACAGCGATGTTTCTTTTTAAAAACGTAAGAAACGAACAGCAAAGATCGAGGTCAACCTGTTCCATTCTCTGCAATTTCTTAGCGCGCTTTGGTGATCGACTAGCTCGGTCAAATTCACCATACACCATGGAATATTCTGCTTGACTAGGTCCGAGTTGCTCCAGAGTAGTGAGGAGACATGATGGCTGTCTTGAAGTGTCTTCCTTCTTTTTCTTATCCCTCGTTGCTTCATTTGTAACTTGTCATGTCAGTTACCGGATCGATCGGTCGGATTGCAACATGACGAGATATGCAGGTGATACCCGGTACCGGTTCACTGAGCTCAACTCATGCAGGGCTGTTTGGAAAAGGAAAAGAGATATGATGATGTGGATAGGAAAAGAAAGAGGGGGCGACTGGCAGACAGATATACTTATATTTACTTGACATACGGACACGGGAGATGGGAGGGGGGCTACAGTAATGGAAATAGGAGACACATATTTTTAGTAAGACAACAAAGTTATTGAACAACACAGCCTGAGAAAATAACTTCGGAATAAGTGACCGATGATATTTGCAGCATTGCGAATGCAAAATGTGTAGGCCTATATGTATATTCTTGTGTTGATGATGAGGAGGAGGGGGGGGGGGGGTGGATGGGGATAACGACAATGGTAATGATGATATTGGTTGTGATATTAATTTCAAGGTGATGATAATTATGATAATGATGATAGTGACGATGACCACGATGATGATAATCATGAAGAGGAAGATGCAAGAAAGATAATGACGACGACGGCGATGAAGGAAAAGAAATAATATAATGACGATAAAGATAGGAAGAGAGAGGGGAGGCAGATATACTTCTTTTTACTTGACATACGGACACGGAGATGGGAGAGGGGCTACAGTGATGGAAATATAGGGAGACATGTGTTTTAAGTAAGAGAACAAAGCTATTGAAGAATACAACCTGAGAAAATAATTTCGGAATATAAGTGACTGCTGATAAAAACAGCATTGCGAATGCACAATTTGTAGGCATACACATGTTGTTGATGAGGAGGATGGGGGGGGGGGGGGGTTGGGAATAACGACAACGGTAATGATGATATTGGCTCTGGTGGTTATATTAAAGGTGATGATAATGACGATGATAATGACGATGAGGAGTCTTGGGGACGATGATGATAATCATGAGGAGTAAGATGGGAGAAAGATAATGACGACGGCGATGTTGATGATATGATAGTGAATTATTGATGATGCTGTTGATGGTGGTGTAGTAGTGATGGTGATTGTAATAGTGATAATAAAGATAATGATGACGATGATAACGTTGATGACAGTGGTGTCATGTTGTCTCGAACATACTTTTTGATACATTCATTTTTAATGCTTCGCTGAAAAAGAACCCATGCATTTGACATATTGATTGATCTTTTCTTGCCACATGTTGGTGTTTTTCTAGATTTCCCAATTGACCTGAAATAGAAAATACCTCCTTCATTGCCTTCAACCCATATTAATTACGAAACATTGCGGATAGATTAAGATTAGATTAACTATATTATACTGATAATGATAACACATGTATTTGATTTTTAACTTGTTTGTAAACGTATGATTTTGATATATAAGCTGCAGTCCTTAGTATACTCTCTATATATACACTGTATGAATTGCACCTGGTGAAAGTTATGTAGAAAATAGTTTAAATGTTTTTCAGTCTGCTGTATTTCAATTCTCGAAACAAAATCTGCCTTGTCTCTCTGACGCAAAGATTATCTCATTAATACACGAGTGTATGTAGACTTCATTCAGTGTTTTACATTATGCTCATATTTATAATGCCTTAAGTTAAGAAGAAAACGCGAAGAAGAAAAAAAAATATATTAATACATGTACCATAGCTGTTGTTTGTTACGTTAGTTCCCTGCGCAGTTTGGGCGCGAAGAACTTGATACAAATTCACTCTTTATATAGAGATACCAACTTTCGGTATTGTGCTCGAACAAAATCGTCTGGGGCGGGCTTGTGGTCGTTTGTTCTGTGATTGTCTGCTGATGTGGCAGGTAGACATTGGTAAGAAAAGGTTTTTATTTGCTTTTCGTCTGCATACCTATTCTGGGATCCCAGGGGAAGGGTGGGCGACATGCAGAATGCCATTTCCAATCTGGGTTGGGTTTCACGAAACCGTGAACGGACAAGTTCGCCGACAACCCATTGAAATGCGTGATTGAAAGTTAGCAATGGGATTGTCGGTGAAGTTGTACTTTTGACGGTTTTGTGAAACAATGCCCCGGAGGACCTTTGAAGTCCTTACAGTAACGGTGAAAACATCGGAGCAAGTCGATGGTAGTTGGTCTTTCTGTGTATAACCTGAATATATTATGCCTATCATTAAACAAAGAACATGGTTCAAAAGAGCATTATCTAACAGTATTTAACATAGTGGTAAGGACCTTCTTTTTCTCAACAAACGATAACGATGGAAGTTATTGATCACTCCATGTAATCATCAGGTATACTGATGCGGTGGGCAACGTTATAGGACAAAGTACTCTTGAGACGTCGGATTATTGGGGTACGTGCGTCGGTCTAAACTCGCGTTCAACAATAGGAAAACTATATCTCGGACTACATGTAACTTCACATTTTGCTGAACTAGATATTGAACATAAGCCTATAAACCCAGCAGAATACGTTACAATGTGCGCATAGACAAAGATAATGGGGTTGTATAAAACCAAAATAGACAAAGAGATACAGAGAGAGGGAGGGGGTCGAAAGCGGAGGTTGTGGGGGGGGGGGGGGGGGAGGGGGATGTGTGTATGGAGCTGAGAGTGAGAGGAGTCGTGTATACATTATGAGCAGAGAAAGAGATCAAAAGTGTATTATGACCCTATTGTGCTATGGAATTTGAGCACATTAAAGTGGATCTGCTGCATGCATGTTTATGTTGTGCTTTTTCAATACCTTTTCTCTGATTTTAGTCTCTTCTAAATTTCTTATCTATTTTTTTATAGAGAAAAATCACTTACTGCAGCTTTAAATTTGTTGGTATCTTAATTATATACCTGAGATGATGAAGTATCTGACGACTTTCTCTTTGATTGCTTACTAAAACTGTTTAAATGAGCTTTTAAAAAACAGCGATCGTGCAATACACACATGTATGTATTTGCTTTTCATTCACGGAATGATCTGAAGTATGATAATAGAACAGTTATTATGGTTTGCATAAGTGTGCGTCAGAATCAATGGACATATTGATCCAATATGTAGATTTGAAGTTTGAACGATGCCTCGTTTTTGTATTCACAATTATGACTGATTAATTTGATATTTGAGAACAGACTGGAAATCTAACCAGGATGTCATGTGGCCATTTTGAAATTAGCCAGCGATCATTTTATAGTGTTTTATTTTAATTTTAATAAATCCCGAAATTTGATTTTGAAAATATAATCTTGAAGTTAAACCGATATCATGCCAGGCGGCCATTTTGAATTAAGCCCGCGATTTTTCAGTCCAATCACGTGACACTTTCTCACATGCATGGTGATGTTTTCATTTTAAAAAGACCCCGAAAACCTGGAAAGTGTAAATAAGATGCATTTTTTAGATGACGTTGATGTTGACACCCTCTTCTCTTTGCCCACACTCTTCCCCCAACACCCCCTCTTTCTCTCTCTCTCAACTTCTCTGTCGTAGGTGGTTTGGGTCACGTGATCTCTTTAGCCCCCTTACAAAATGGCGCGTAGACGTCTGATGTGGGCCGTTCTCTCCCTCCTCGTCTTTTCCGTCCTCTTTTGGGTCTCCTCAGTCATCATCAGCGACAAAAAGGAGTCCATTACCAGACACAGATCCATTCTCGACCATCTCGGGCAAGCGGCAAGGTAAACAACAACAACAACAACAAAACTTTGAGAAAACATGGTAGTCGTGATGTCCAGGCGTTTAATTACAGCATTGTTTTGTTGTTATGTACATGCAGGGGTTCACCGCATGCAGTATCGCTTTTAAAAAAATAATTTGACTGTTTTCTATGCAGCTTGTGAGTGTTCTATTAATATATATCACATCTGTCGATTCGTTTGGGGATCAATTTTGATAGATTGTCATGTTGGTAACGGAATTAATCCAAAATATAGGTGAATCAAAGTTGATTATAAATACAGAGATTGAATAGCGGTAGAAGAAAATAGTTTTTTTTTTCTACGAGACAAATAATATTCTAATAAATACGCCTGGACATCAAACTACTTACCAGTATCACCAAAAGATTATGACTTGCCTTGCCAATGGTTTATTCTGAACTTTCATGGTTTGAGAATAAAAGAAATAATGCAATACAAAATCAGATTGTACGATGGCTCAAACTTTATATTTCTAAATTCTATTTCATGTCAAACTTAGAACATCAGCTTAAAAGAACGAAATGATGGTCTTGCAATTCAATAATGTGTATGGGTGCTAAAGAGGAGAATTAAAATGCCAGAAGTAAGGAAACCGATTAATTTACTATGATTTCTAGGGGTTCTTTAAGCATGTAGGGTTCTACCCATGGGGGGGGGGGGGGGGGCAATGTGTATTTTCAGATTTCTTGAAAACAATATTTGTTCGGGTTACATTAACGTCCTGCAATCATTGAGTCAAGTTTATAACCCTCTTTTAATTGCCTCATGTGATGCATAAAAAAGTATACTTATCAGCAACTAATGCCCAGAAACCTATAAAAGATCAAGAGAAATGGCTGGAAACGTTTAATTGAAGGATGCAGATCACTGTTATCAAATGATATGTTACTCAGTTTGCTATATATGTGTCGGGCTGAAAACAAGATCGACCCGTCAAGCATTATTTCGGTCTGTCTAAAAATGGAGCGTGTTCAATTCGTGTATTTTACGCCCTATTTATTTCCTTTTTCGGATCGTTGAAAATGAAATTGGGCACAGAGCGGGGGAAGTCTTTTAAAATAGAATTTCCCCGCATTTATTTCCGGACGCTCTGGCATTTCGATTCTCTTCTATTTTTGGCAGTTACCCTAAATTCATGTGTTTTCACCTGCAACCAATTGAATTGACATGAGAAAAGATCTCGGTTAAAGGAAATTTTGCTCCCAAGCATAATATGACTTTCTCTTCTTAACCCTTTTCGTTTTTTCTCGCCCCTTCCCTTTATTATTGTCTCTTTTTTGCTGTTGCTTTTCTTGCCTAATATTTGCATTTCATCTGCAGTTTCTATTTTCTAGACCATCGTTCATTCGCTCCGCTTTACATGTTGTCAGGGACTTCGTTCTACCTTTTTTAAAGGAAGATTGAACACATTAGGAAGGTTGACCATATTTACCCAGCTGACACTATTTATGTAAGCCGTCCCCACCCTCCTCCCCCTCCCCCCTCCCTCCCTCCCAACAAAAAGACGGATTTTCCCATTTGTCGACGGGTGTTTCTTCACATATCGTTTACCGATAAGGCTGAAGTATTCCAAAATTGCCGCTAGACTAGTTAGAAAATGTTTTAAAACGTTGTATTTTTGTCCTTCCTATTTTTCACCTTTCCCCCATCGTTATCCCTCTGCTGCCTGTCTCGCATTCCTGTGTATTACGCCAATAAACATTATAATGCTTCCATATTGTGCTTATATAGATACTAGGGCATGCTGGTCCGTGCTCCGGTCACGCTTTTTTTCAATGACAGTACTGTTGTGACGAGTGACAACATAATTGGCTCTCTGTCCCGAGTTCGAAGATCAAAACAAAAACACGGAATATTTATTGAGCAACGATGTACATTTCATCCCCCTTTTCCCCCAGTTCCCGAATCCGTAATTGCATTACCGACCCCCCCCCTTATAAAATATAAACGCAATAAGCTTTACGTGTTTTGTTTTGTTTTTTTACCTTTTCATAAAGTTGAGAGGAATAATAATTAAATAGTGACAATAGATGAAAACCTACTGCATCATCCACCACATTAAAAACAATTGCAGCTGCCTATACAAGCCAGGCAGCATCGCTAGATGTCCACGTATTGTTATTGTAGAATGATCGATGTTCATCACTTGAGAAAAGTGTCAGCACTACTAAATTATTGAAGCAATAGATAATGCATGAATCCCCTCGGCAGCCGCGGTAGGAGAGGGGATTAATAATAAGGAAAAGCATGGGGGAAAATCTCACACGCAACAACAACTTCAGGTTCAACTAAAATCAATATCTTGGGTGTTGCCTCTAAAACGCGGTTTCCCTTACGGACCTCAACTTATAAAACATTTCAGCTGGAAAAAAAGAAGGTTTGAATATTAACTCAGAAACATAAGGGAGATATAAAAAGAGACATGGTACTGGCTCCCCTTTTTCCTCGCGTGATGTAGGTTAGAGCTTTATAACGAGCTCGAGCTGTAGCAGGAGAGTTGAAAACCACTTGGGCTCGGGTTAATGTTTATTCACAATAAGTTTCTCGCTCCAAGTAGCTTCGAAGACCGTTTCCCTAGTCGAATCTTGTCTTTCCAATAGGGGCCAATTTGTCATGCATGCTCGAGAGCAGAGTGCGGCTAATTTTGACGTGAAATGTTGAATTAAAGATAAGCATCTATCTTTGAGGAAGTGGCCTGGGAAATGCTATATGGGGCTGGATGTAAGGTTGTTCTACTTCGCCGTCTAGATTGTGCCGTTATTATGCGCGCGCTCCAAGTTTTTCTCTTTTGTTGCCCCTTTACTCTTTACATCTCTCTGATTTCTTGAACCTTGTGCTTTTACCGGTTTGTTTCTCATGTCAATTTTCTCTTGTCATGCACATGGACACCCAATTCCCCTTTATCGCTTTTCAGTCTTTTGACACTCTCTCAAATGCATCTACATGCATGGAATTTTCTTTAGTAGTCGGAACAACGTGGATTTGCTAGTAAATAAAAAGATACAAGCATTAAGAAGAAGTTTTGTGACTCTCGAGTCATCTTGTTGGTGAGATGACGACTGTTTTTCTCTCCACCATTTTGTATCATTCGTAAATACTTTAGCCGGAATTACATAGCATCGCAGCTTTGGACGAAAGGCGAGGGGACTGACCCGATTCGGAAGCCCGACTGCACTCCTGAAACCAACGTCGTCTTCATCAAGACTCACAAGACAGCCAGTAGCACAACTAGTGGCATCTTTGACCATTACGCCTACAGAAACAACCTGACGGTGGCTGTGCCACCCGATGGCGCCCCCTTCATGGACCGGAAGCTACTCTTCCAACGGGACATGGTGGCTGACACCAAAGACTCCGGCATCGGCTGGAAGAGAGAGGACGGGTTCAACATGCTGACAGCTCACGCGCGGTATAACCGACCGGAAATGGACGCTGTGGTGCACAATGCCAAATTCGTCACAATTCTCAGAGATCCGAGAGCACAGTTTGTTTCTTCGTTTGTCTTCTTCAATTTTGTGGACCGCTTTAAGCGTATCTTTGAGTCACGCGGCGAGAAGTACTCGACGGTCATCGAAGGGTTCATCAAGAACCCCATGGAGAATTACCAGTTAATGAGCCATCGCGTCTACTCGCAGGTATTGTGGAACCAGCAGATGTTCGATCTCGGTCTAGACACCGCCTACTTCTCCAACCCGGAAATCATCGAGGAGACATTATCACGGCTGGATTCTGAGCTGGATCTTGTGATGATTACCGAGTACTACGATGAATCCCTTCTAGTTCTGAAAGACATCTTATGCTGGGAAATGGATGATATCCTCTATACGCAAAGACTCGTGAGGAACTCCTCCAGCGAGGTATTTCTTGACAGCGTTACAAAGGACGCCATAAGCGAATGGAACGCAGCTGACACCCGGATGTACGATTATTTCAATAAGACATTATGGCGGCGCATAGCGTCGTATGGACCGAATTTTCAGGACGATCTGAAAATATTTCGTCAGAGACTCGCACAAACGACCCCAAGAAAAACGGGGAAGCATTCACGTGACACGAAGAAGATAATAAAACGAATGAAAGACAGAGGTATACTGGTTAGATAGTACAAATAAATTATTCTAGTGATGTATAGCAGCAGTGGTCTGCTATTGATTTGGCATAATTCCGCACTTGCATGATAATGTCTCAAATCGTCAACACCAAATTACACTAAAAGTGTCATTTTCTTGATCCACGCGACTGAATACAATAAGCCACTCCGGAGAAACAATCTGCGCATGAGCAGAAAAGGGTAAATTTTGTACAAACTGTAACAAACCGATCGAAACATAATTATACTAGATACATGAAAGTCATGTAATCATTGTTCATGTATACACCGATGGTACGTTCTGTGATACACAGGTGGACGTATTCTTTTCATGAGGGCAAAGAAACATGGAGCAACTTCCATCATTTGGATTATTCTAAAATACACAGAAGTGTGGCTTAGCCATGTTTAAAAGATCTGTGGATATTTGGGGGTCATTTTTAACCTGTGTTATCTCCGGAGCGGTCTATTAACATAATTACTAGAATCGTAGGTTCTTGTCAGTAGTATTTGAAACAAAATACACTGGACTTGCTCCTGTAATATACACAATATATGTTAGGGAAAAAACAGAAGTTGGAAATTAGTTGTTCTTTGAATGAACATACTTCTAATTACCTTAATAACGGAGCACTGCAATCGATAGGCGTTGGATAGAAAAACACTTCGTTTGCAGCTAGGCCATTTCCATATCATATCCAACTCACGCTTAAAATTTGTTGCACTGTTAAGACATCTCAGATATAAATGTTCTAGAGACAACCATGAGGTTGCATCGCACGCCTTTGAAATAGATATTTGCCAAAAAACAAACTTATATCATGTCACGCACCCAATTAGAATTCTACTACAATCAAACTTTCTTTTGTAAGATTTTCGCTATATATTTGTAAATTTCTGCGCGTTTGGTGAATTTTGTCATGATCCTACTTTTTCTTCATGGGGAGTGAGAAAAAAAAGTACAATTATGTATTACTGAAATAAAATCAATAAGTTGTCTATATCGTAAATGTGTCCTTGGTGTTATCACATATCATATTTATATGTGACTAATTATAGTTTTATGGGCTGTAGAGATTCAGGTAGTCGCAGCACGCAAATATATTTATCTTTTTGTTAGAAAGAAAACGCAACTCTTCTGAAATCACTGTTCATTAAAAGATGAATAACTTTCATCCAAATTTGTTTATTTTTGTAATATTATTATTATTATTTTTAGTAGACCCGTACATACTGATTCATCCTTCGGCAGTTAATATACCGGTGCATCGTGATGTTGCAGTAATCAACTTTTTTACCGTAACATCGCAATGTCTTTTTTTTAATCCTGATGTTGACCCTACCGTAATTGAGCAAAAATGACGTAATTCATGGTTAAATCTTCACAAACTTGGTAACAAAAGTATGTTGATGGATTCAAGGAAAATATTTTGGATGAAAGAAAAGAATTAAGAATCATGTTTATACATTGGCTGTATGACATGACTTATGGGTGTGTATACATTTTTATTACAGTTTACAGAATATGCTAGCTATTTTTAGAAACTTTTATCGTATTTGATCTCAAGAAATGTTTGCGAATCTGTAACACTAGCACATGAACGTTGGTGTTACAGCAGTATTAATTATAATTGTGTGAGCTGTCGTTTCTGTCAGCTCAAACAATCCGCTTTTTTAAAGACTGTATTTTAGAACGACGAGCAGGTTTTTTATGTGGTTTTCTCTTTTAGCAGTGCTATTTGTTTGATTTTTCTTTTTGTTTCGTACTTGAAATCGGCATTATACATCTCATTTATATGCATTACTCTTTTAAAGTGCAACACCTTTTTCGTCCTTTTCATGAATGCGTAAACTCTTATGTGTGTTTCTCCATCTCTTTGTTATGTCTGGGACTTTGGCTATATCGTAAATGTGTGTTGTTTTAATATGGGCCCTGTTTCATGAAACTCTTTTTTTTAAATAAATAAATAACAACTTCCAAAGGTGCATGAAAATCTGGTGGATGTTTAACAAAGATTAAGTTGAACTTAGCTCTAAGTTGGACTTAACAATTATGGAAAGCCTTTAGCATCTTCGAAAATATTTTGTAAAAGTTATTTTAAAAGGCATAAAATGCTGATACAAAACATTCATGTTCTCTATTATCGAGGAGATTTCATAAAATCCTCATCAAGAACATGAAAAGTCGAAAATACTTGGATTTTTTTCTTTTGAATATATTTTATTTTAAGGCTACAAATGGCTCTCTATAATGTTCAAGTCCAACTCAGAGTTAAGTTCGACTTAGGATTTTTGTGAAACACCCCCTGCTCATAGACAATCAAATGTTAAGATTTCAGTAGCGTGTAACAGTTATCGTTCTGTATCTCGCTATTGATAACAAGTTTTTTTTTATGAAACGGGGCCCTGCTTTTGCTTCCTGCGCGTGTAACGCGTCATGTGCCAACAGTATCAATATATTTTTATGCTTCCTATTTTCTGTATGAAGAAAAAGTTTTGTTTTTATTGATGTAGACATTCCTGAGACCGAAAGGTTGCCAGATTGTAGAGAATTACGATTAGTCCATTCAGAGCAACATTCTCGCAGCATTAATGTTTTGATCAGTCCAGTTTACATTTTTTTGCTTATTTAATTCCATTTTTTAAATATTTATTTTGGATACATTTACTCTTCATCACTGTGTTTGAAAATTGCCTTGCTAATTGACGGCTTACGAAGTTCCTTGTATACACGCCTACTCGTTGCTATGTCGGGTACACATGTGAGCAAATTTTAATTATGTAGTATGCATACTAATTTTGAATATATTAAGTAAGATGGTCTAATGGTCCAGGAATGGGTGGGGGCATGGGTGTCGATCCGTAACTGATACCTATTCATCAGGGGGGATGATCTATTCATTCATCCCCCTGAAATTAGTATCGACACCCATGGGTGGGGGTATTCGTTTCGGAAACCTCATTCTACGCAGCATTATGTATATGAATCTTACGATTTTTTTATTGCCAAAGTAACAATTTTCCTCTCACACCACCGAAGTATTGTCAGTACATTGTCCATCATGTAAAATGCTAAATAATGTAGATGATAATAGATGACAACTCGCAATTCATCTTTTTAACCTTGAATCCCGACATTGTCAAATGATAAAGGTATACTGTATATTTGATATAAGGTTTTTTTTAATACATGTATGTGTTGTTAACAAAAAAGATTTTTTATTAAGATTTTTCATTAAGACAAATCAGACAATCAATTCTAGGCCCCGCTGCACAAAAATTACCATTGATGGTAACTGCCATGGAAACCTTGATTTTGATTGGCTGTTGATCCCTGTTACCATGGTAGTTTCCATTGATGGCAAAATTACCATCAATGGTAATCTTTAATCAACGATGCCCTGATCCTAAATCCTAAAGACAATCAATCGTAATTTTTCGTAAAGACAATCAGTTATTATTATAAATGGAAATATGCGATTGCGCAATAAAGCTTCATCAGTCACACGCAAATTGTCATGTGTTTGTCATCCTCATTCATTCTCTTGGGCTGAAATTCTACTTAAATGTCGGTGTCTGCTCGCTATTTATAAAAGACCGCTATTCATTCGTCACGCGTGGTGGATAGCGGTACTTATGAATGACGGTCCCTATGAATAGCGAGGTAAATTGACTATGGTTTGCTCGCTATTAATTTTATAAGGGCAGCTATTCATTTTGTTACCCGTAATGGATAGCAGTTCTTATGAATAATGGTCCTTATGAATGTCCTTACGTCCGGGTGCCCCGCCCCCCCCCCCCCCTTGGATCCGCCACTGAAAGTCAGTGTAATGATACCAGAAGTACTCGGTATGGAACTACAATGTATGTAGCTTGGGTGTGCATTATTTATGATGCTATAATTATAGACATGACCGTCTTTCAAGAAAGCGAGTGATACATGTCCATTTTAAGTCATCTGACAAGAATGATCGTTGAATGTGTGAGGTGATGATGAACACGTTACGTTTTCATTACGTTTTCATGATGGCAATTCTGAGAATAATTGTGATAGCGGTGATGATGATAAAGTGGATGTGACCTATCGAAGGATAGGCTGATGATTATGACGTTGACTGAGACAGGGTTTTAAAATTGCTATGGTGATCATGGTGATGGACTGATGGTGGTGGTGGTGATGACGATGATGATGATGGTGTTGATAATGGTAATGATGATGATGATGATGATGATTTCGTGATGATGATGGTGTTGGTAAAGGTAATGAAGATGATGATGGTGGTTGGTGGTAGTGGTGTTGTTGATGATGAGTATAGTTGTGATGATGACAATGTTCATACTGATGTGGAATGAGGATAAGGAGTAGCAGGAGAATGTGGACCTGTATTCATGTTGAAACAAAATGTGTAAGTTACCGAGTATTATTAAGTTGATGTGACCTGCCATAGAGCTTGTCTGAGACGGTTTTATCTTTACGATGATTGAATGGTGGGTGGTGATGATGATGATGATGATGATGATGATGATGAAGAAGATGGTGGTGATGATGGTGGTGGTGTTTACGATACGATGGTGTTGACTCGATGAAGGTGTTGCTGCTGCTGATGATGATGGTGATAATGTTCATACTAATGCGGGAAAAGACGAAGAGGAGGATGTGGATCTGTAGTCACCACATGTTAAAATGTGTATTAAAGTTACCCAGCAAGACATGGAATAATAATGCCTAAAAGCGTGAGGATTAGACTTATTAATTTACTTGATCAATGGCACTCAACATGCTGAAGTGCAGAGAAGGCCACGATTTGCTCCGAAAATAATCTATCGTTTCATCATAAACAAGAGCTACATGAGTCGCAGTCATGTAGACCTGCTGTTGATATTATTCCATTATCTTCCTCGAGTTATGCTAATTTTTAACCCTCATCCATGTCCTCATCCATCTCTTCATTTCCGTGACACGATTAATTTTGACAAGTTCACGCGGTGACAGATGAGTGCAGATATCAGTAGCGTGGTGATGGTTAATATCGTTGCTATGACAACGATGATGTTCGTGATGAGAGGGGTACGAGATGGTAATATTCCTACGTGGATCCTTTTGTATGGGGAATCTTATTTGGGGGGGGGGGGAGGTGGTGATTATGATGGTTAGGGTGATGAAGTTTGATGGTGGTTGTGGTGGTGGTGATGATTTTGATGATGGATGAGGACGACGATGATGATGGTCTTCTAGTAATATTGATGATAATGATGATGTTGATGATTATGATGATGATGATGATGATGATAGTGATGGTGATGATGATAATGTTGATGGTGATAGTGATGATGATAATGATGACAAGGATGATGATGTTGATGATGATGATGATGATGATAATGATGGTGATGATAATAAGATGTTATGTTGATATAATATAGGTATTATGTTTAAAAATAAAATAATGAAATCTCATAGTGAATATACATGTATTGGTTCAGATTCAAGACATTTTAAAGGTTGAAGACTGCAACTATTATCTGTGTCGGAAGCACACCGCCATACCGACTGCATGCCGACTGCAAACCGATCGATTATTGTCCACTCGGTGTTGTAAGCAACGTTTTTTTCGGTCTGTATTCGGTCTCGTCAGTGGGACAAGGGTATGACATTTCACCTCTGATTGTTAAATTTACAACTTTTCTCGAACTTTCTTTGCACAGATACTAAACGCTGTAACTCTCAGGCGGTCGAGCAAGAATGGCGAAACGAGCGGTGGTCGCATCGACCGTCGTCCTCGGTTTGATGGCAGTCGTCATTCTCGGTCTCCTGTGTGACGGCGGCTATTACAGCAGCGATGACGTGACGGTTGTGATGGGCGGGACAGAACCACAACGGTAAGAACAAAAAATCATAGCCTAGAGGATGAAACCGAGATGTATTAATACTGACCCCCCCCCCCCCCCGGTATGTCTGTCTCTCTCTGTCTCTCTCTCTCTCTCGATTCAATTTCTATTATTATATCAGAGGTTATTAACATAATGCTTAATATTCGCTTAGTTATTCGTCAAATGACACATTAATACATTCAAATTAGGATTCAATTGTGTTGTTCAATCATGTAGGCCTAATTATGTTTAATATATACATGTAATACAATATATGCAACAGTATTTTGTCGAAAATGTTCTGCATTTTATCACGAGGATACCAGAAAATGGGTACACATGTATATAAGTATTTTCGTCTGTATTTTGTTCTGGTACTATTATGAGTATATATTCATGATTGTTATTTAATTTTGTTGTTACCAGCCAGGGCCTCATGAAAGACCACCACTATAATTGATGAAAATGTGCTACCCTGTGTAAATGTCAGAAATAAATAAAAAGAGGAATGTGTATAATATGATCATTGACTATTTCGCAATCACAACTTAATATCCGCATAACCAATATATTTATATTTTTTGCAATCCGATTTCTTCCCAGTCCGGTAATTGAAAACGATATGGATGGCATAGAACGTATCTCACCAAGGACTAGAGGAGAGTGCCATCCCCAGAAACAGATTGTCTTTCTGAAGACACACAAAACAGCCAGCAGCACCACAGCCGGTATCATCGGCCTTTTTGCTTACAAGAACAACTTGACAATGGCCGTACCGCCGGAGGGGCAAGCTTACATGGATCGTACCAAGCTCTTTCAACGGGACATGATAGCCAGGTTACGCAAGAGCGCGCTGTCCTGGAGGGATACCGTTGGCTTCAACGTCTTTTCCTGTCACGCACGCTACAACCGTAAAGAGATGGCCGCCATCGTCCCCAAGGCCAAATACATCACGATCCTCCGCGATCCGTGTAAGCAGCTACCATCTGCTTTAGTTTACTATAAATTCGACTTGCGTCTTGAGCGCAAGTTTGATCGGCAGGGCAGGACGTACAGCAACGTCTTCGAGGAGTTCATGGACGATCCTGCTGGGAACATGGCCATCATTGAATCGCATACTATGGCCCATGTCATGCACAATCAACAGTTCTTCGACCTTGGTTTGGACACCAAGTACTCCACGGACTGGGTCAGAATCGACAAAACCATTGCAAAACTCGATAAGGAGCTGGACCTCGTCATGATTACCGAATATTACGACGAATCGCTGATCCTCCTTCGCGATCTACTCTGTTGGACAACTCAAGACATTCTTTACACGAAAAGGATGGTTCGCAACTCCACTTCATCCATCCAAGTCCGTCCGGAAATGCGAACCAAAATTCGTCAATGGAACGGTGCTGACACCCACCTCTACGAGCATTATAATAGGACGTTGTGGCAAAAGATAGCTGCATATGGACCGCGATTTAACGACGAACTGCAAAAATTCAGGGATCGTTTAAAAAATGTGACTGAAGAAGAAACGGGATCCCATAGAATCTTGATGAATAAAATGGCCAAACGTATGAAAAGCACGGGTA